GAGGAGAGAATCTCTTGGTCTCTATTTCTCTCTCTCTATCTCTCTCTCTCTCTCTCTCTCGCTCTCTCTCTCTCTGTGTCTCTCTCTGTCTGTCTGTCTGTCTGTTTCTATCTCTCTCTTTGTCTGTCTGTCTGTCTGTCTGTCTGTCTGTCTGTCTATCTGTCTCTGTCTCTCTCTCTCTCTCTCTCCCCCTCTCTTCCTCTCTCTCTCTCTCTCTCTCTCTCTCTCTCTCTCTCTCTCTCTCTCTCTCTCTCTCTCTCTCTCTCTCTCTCTCTCTCTCTCTCTCTCTTCGCCAACTGAAAAACACAGAAAACTAACACAACATCCCTGATCAAGTTCATTACCGATCCGAGAGCACTTCTGAAGCGTCGTTCGGGCTGTTCGCTAAGCCGAGGGATCAATGAATAAAAGGAACTTGTCTACAGGTACTGTAGTGTGTTTGTCTGTGTGTGTGTGTGTGTGTGTGTGTGTGTGTGTGTGTGTGTGTGTGTGTGTGTGTGTGTGTGTGTGTGTGTGTGTGTGTGTGTGTGTGTGTGTGTCTAGCGTGGGCGCCAATTTCAGATGCCTAAATCCTCAACGTTAAACTCGAACTCACAGTCCCGCCTCGGCCTCAGACGGAGCCTCCGCTGTCGGTCGCAGCCGCGTCTCTCGCCTCCTGCCTGGCCCTCCCCGCTCTGTCCGATTCCCCGCCCTCATCTTTTCTTTATCTTCATCTTTATCACTTATCCATCACTTGCTATCTCTAGCTCTCTCTTTAAATGTTTTCGGATATCTGTAAATCCTCATTTCCCTGATAAAGACGGCTAAAGCGGCGATTTCTGTGACACTGTAATATTTTTATGTGCGGATTTATTGACTGTTCGTTTGTGTGTTTGTTGTTTGTACAACGAGTCTGTGGTTCTGCGAGAGAGGCGTTGATGCAGTGATTATAAAGATAATAATAATAGTCATGATGATAATAATGATAATGATAATAGTAACAATAGCAATGAAATAATTAACGATAACAACAAATCACCAACAATAATGATGATGATGTGGTTGATATTAATGATACTACTAC